AGTTGTCTGCATGACTGTGCTAAAGTCTTCGTTTCTAATCCGGTCCAGTCGCGTGTAACCGTAGTCCCAATTGAGCAACCTCGTTCCAGCGGACTGAGGTTCCATGCCCTGACTCCTCCATACTGGCTAGCACCCTTGCAGTAGAGCATTGTTGGGCTCACTACTGCTCTGTAAAGCGTTTTCTCGAGTTTCTTGGAGCGCCGTCGATCGAAGAGAATGCCACTGGATTCACTCCACTTTATTCCACTCACTTCCTCTACGGTCGGCGGCTCCCAGAAATCAAGAATCTTACACTCGGTTTCCCTCAAGCTTGGTATTCCATGACTTCTTTGATCGGATGATCTTACGTTCCTCACAGCCCGTGCCCATTCCATTAGAGCCACTGTTCTCTTGCTGTGAGCTGGATGGGAGCTGTCTGCATGACTGTACTAAAGTCTTTGTCTCTGACTCGGTCCAGTCGCGTGTAACCGCAGTCCCATTTGAGCATCCTCGTTCCATCGGACTGCAGTTCCTTGCCCTGATTACTTCATACTGGCAAGCACTCGTTGCTGTAGAGCATTGTTGGGCTCACCACTGCTCTGTAAAGCGTTTTCTCGAGCTTTCTGGAGCAACGTCGGTCGCAGAGATGCCACTGCATTCACTCCACTTAATTCCATTCACCTCCTTTACGGTCGGCGGCTCCCAGAAATCAAGAATCTTACACTCGTTCAACGATTTCTTCTTAGCACTCCTCTATTGATTCTGTACACTACTCTTGGAAACTTTGTCTTTTTCACAATTGCTATAGCACGATGTCATAAGTGTAGAAAACCGTTTTTGTGGTCCATTCAAGAGTCCTTTTTTGATGGCATCCAATTCAAGCAGGAAGGAGAACACGCTCGAATTTGATCCCTGGTGTACCCCAATCGTGACGTCTCTTGCTTTTGATGGACCACAAAAAGTGCTTACAGTTGCCCTGAACCCATCGCAGATGCCCTTCACCGGTGTGACAGCAGAGGCAGAGTTTTCGAGGCACAGCAATTTCAGATTACCAAACTAAACCATTATTTCGAAGGTAATGTTATCTCCAAGGTAGTGTTGAATATGTAATGTTCGTGACATACATCTTATCGCTTTTGCCTAGGAAAAGCATCTGTATTCAGCTCATTCTGGCCTGTCAAAGTCATATCATTCATTAAGTAAGTTGCAGTAGAAACCTAAAGCACTGTAGTGGTGACTCCTGGCGCGACCATCAGTGTGGAAAGGCAATGAGTTGTGAGCTAGTGTATTGCTAGTATTGCTTGCATTTTTGGTACTTGTAACTTTGATAAGTGAAAGTTTTCAGGAAAAGATTGCCGACTTTATAATTAGTATTGATAGCACCAACTCGAGGAAGGCCATTATTCGGTGGAAGCCACAGTCGCTTTGTCGCCGTTCTTTTGTTAAGGCTCCCCCGTATGGTTCGATTCGTTCTCGTCCTCAAGAATGACCTTGGG